ATCAGACAGGGGGCCGGCTCTGATGATGGGTTTAACTACAAAACCGAAACATGAAGCGAATAAACTCCTTGTTCCGGTGATAGCATCTCGTGCCTCCCGCCCAACTCTCAAACCTTGCATTTTCTCTTGCACCGTCATCTGCTATTTAGAGAGATTTACGAGCATATTTTCGGTGGCGGAGGAGATCCAATCTAATCTGCGAAAACCCCTTGCACCCTATCAGATGAAGGTGTGCTTCAGAGGCCCCGGCAAAGGAATTTTGCACTTAACCTCTGTTACTGAGCTAAAAGTAAAGTTTATCCACAAACTATGCGCCATGTGAGTAACAGTCTGAAGGAATCGCCACAGAAGCATCTATAAAATGAAATCGTAAAATCCTCGCAGGAGCACAGTGTCTCATCAGCGCCTGGATCTAGTGTCGTTTTTGTTCAAAGAGGTCGCCTTCACAAATGTAACAATGTTCGATGATCTACCAGTCTACATGTTCCCTTGGCGTAGTGGAGCATCTCTCCAATTCGCCGCCTTTCAAACTTGTAGAAACAGCCAGCATCTAAATATACAAATGAGGAAAAAAACGTTTCAAACATTTTCACAGGCACCTGGAAGAGTCTTTCCGCATCGAACTGCGCATTTAAGAGGGACCTCTCAGGCGCAAGGTAGGACATTATTTCGTTGTCTGTCAGGCGATTGACCGTGAGATTTCGATGTATATCTAAGGTCCGGTTTAATTCGAGGGCCAGCTGTCGGTGATCTATTTTAGCCGAGTCACCATTGAGTCGGTCCCGAGCTGCCTGCAAGGAAAAAAAAGTTAATTCATGGAACGTTTAGTGGCGAAGTGCATCATCCTTCGAATTTTGAATAGACAAACGTGTAGTCTCCTAAAGGCCATTCCGGTCACTGCCAATTTGGAGACAAACTCCTCCCTCACTACCAATCTATGCTCGCGCCCACTACCCATCGCCCTGGCTTTGTCTTGTCATTGGAGCAAGGTTGCTGAGGGAAATAGAAAGGAGGTAATGGGAGCTGTGTAAGTCACAAATGCAATGCCAAGTCCGTAGGGTGGTGGTGGACAGTGTCTCTTGCGATGACCCGAATGTCGGGTAGAGTTCGGTAAGCTGATAATGAATAGTCGCCAAGGGGGATGGTTGGCAGAAGCGTAGAATTTCTGCTGGTTGCAAGCACTGGACACAGATTTGTTCAGTCGGCGGAATCAAGGTGCTATATGTGCGTTCGCAAACGAAGCGGATGTTAAGATGTTGATCATTATTTGTGATGTTCTTCGGTGCATTGTTGAAAATGATGTTGTTAACGATACTTTGGCAGATGAGGAAGTGTGTTTTCCGAACACCAATCATCAGTATCCGAGTGTTACTTCCCCGGCCTCATGTATCTAATTGGTTTGAAATTTTACCTCTCTGGTTCGTACGGCCAGTCATCATGCCTCTTAACTCACTGTGATCCAACTGCGAAGAACTCGGTGCCTCGGCGGGATTCGAACCCGTGACAGCAAGAGGAGGTCTTATAACAGTCAACGCTCTAACCGTCTGAGTTACGAGGCTCCACCGGACGACGTGAGGTTAATCAAATTTGGGTTAAGTTTATCCGCCCAACTTACTGCAACGTCTGGTACCATCAAATATGATATAGTAAGCTCAGATGTTAAGAGTGTTGGTTGTACTGAAGCCTCTCCTTGCTGTCGTGAGTTCGAATCGCACCGAGGCACCGAGTTTTTCACCGCTATAGGTCAAAGGGCATTATTTGAAATTTGCTATAAAACCTATGAATTACGAGAGCCCGGTAGTCATCTGGTGGATTCTAGATGTATTACTTAGGAAACCCTGCTTGAGCGGTCAGATTAATGTATCAGATTTGGTGGATACCAGACACTGCAGTAAGTTGGGCGGATAAACTTGACCCAAGTGCTATTAAACTCGCCTCATCGGGTGGGGCCTCGTAGCTCAGATGATTAGAGCGTTGGCTGTATTAAAGTCTTCCCTTGCCGTCGCGGATTCGAATCCCACCAAGGCACCGAGTTTTTCACAGTTGAGTCAAAGTGAATTATTTGAAATCTGTCATCACACCCATGAATATCTATTAACTCTATAGGGGGACTTTCCATCACCCTTGTTTGGTCCCAAGAAATCTAGTTGGGGCTTTCCTGTTGCACTCCTAGCCCTTTTTTCCTCCTTGTCAGAAAGAATCTCCAGCAGCCTCTGCTTACAACAACAATTCCTGCATTCGCCTATCTCCAGGATCGGAGGTCGCAGCTGAAGTCAGCGGAGTGGTTGCGGTCAATACGTCTGGAACTGCTCGCTGCGAAGGTGAATGACCTTGAAGCAGAGTGACCTTGACCTAAGACATCACAGTAATGGCTCTCGGCAAAATGTGTTTGCATAGAACTGGTTCTGCTCGAAGAACGACGTCAAATGTCTACGTAGCTAGCCCTCACTCAACCGGGGTGCGGTCCGAATACCTCCGTGAATGCTGCCCATGACCTCTCCCGCTTGTTCCCCAAGTCATCAGTTTGCGGACTAATTTTCGACTTTGTTGCTCATTATAGTGTTGAGCTTTCGTTTATTTCTTTTCCGTGTTATCGTGTTTGGGGAGGGGAGCAGAATGGCTATGACTATGGCTCTGGACGTGTCAGAGATATACCTAACTCTAGAAAGCAACCCCCACGCAAGATACTACTTCGTCGTTACGTCGACTGTTCATATCGTCGCCTCCGAACAGAAGACTGTATCATTTAACGAAAATGAGGGAGAAGAAAACTAAACAAACCCTAATGTAGAGTACGTGGCACTGGGCCCTAGAACAAAGGTCTCAAAGTGTGTACTATGCCAGTATCAGCCAAACATGACCCTCACAGACTGGTATGCGCTGACAGTTCCTTGACACCGGTTTCGCTGCCGGTAGACGCGCGTGCGTTCCCGATGCGTATACAGGTAATGCGCATGGCTGGTGAGTCATCATCCTCCTCCTTCTGACACCTGTTGCGGTGTTGTTGTTGTTGTTGATGGTCAGGTGTATGTTCTAGACCAGGAGGTGTTGTGGCACGCCTAGGTGCGGGTCCGGCCGCGCCAACAACCAGCATCCTCCCCTGCCTCCGGTCTTCTTGACTCCGTCTCCACACCGAGTCCAGGTGGGAGTAGAGAGCGTGCGGTAGATGCTGCGCAAGTCTATAATCAATACAGCCTTAATCACGCGCAAATCACCGTACCTGCTGCACCTTGCTATGTAACACACGGTGGACATCGTCGGAATCGACGGTCGAACTGCCAGGTCCTAGAATGAAGTTCCATTCTCAGCAACCTCTACTGACAAGCAAGGAACCACCTTGTTATCCAAACTGGTTCATGAAATAATCCACAATTTCACAAACTATCATCTTACCTTAATTTTAGGCGCCCTTAAATCCGACGTTGAATACCTTTCCCACCCGAAAGCTCACTTCCAAATTTTGCCTAATGTGACTCAAGTCTAGGTGCAGGCTTTAGTTGAACCCATACAACTTACAATTTGGCAAGATGCTCCAATTAGAAAAATGTGACAAATGATCCTTTTCCGAACAGCCAGCATAGCGGTCAACACTGGGAATACTGCTCACTTACCCGCCGATAAATATCTAGGACACCGTTCGTGCAGTGAATGGAGGACGATTCCGAAGCGTTGTTTGTGACAGGTCGCAGATCCGGACATGGCTCGCAAGTGTCGTCGGGGGTGTCGAAATCCGCAAAAGTGTCCGGCGGGCAGATTTCGCACTACACAGGTAGCACCAAAAGTCAATGAATCCTCGACTAGGAGTCCGAGGAGAAGAAGTTGAGAGAGGGATGAAGTAGAAGACAAAAGACGTGCATGGAACTCTCGAGAGGTGTCATCGACGATTATCGCACAAAAATTTGGAAGGGACATCTCTGGCTGATACGGCATCAGTAGTTAGCCCTGCGTCAACTAAAGACCAGGAAGACTTGGTAATTGAGTTTGGTGCAGTTTTTCACCGAGTTTTTCAGTAAAAAAACCAACATTTTGACATGTTTCATCCATGGCATCATTTTATTTTCAAAGAGGGTAGGACACGGCGTATGTACCTCCGTATTACAATTGGACACACCCCAAATCGCAGGTGGGGACGGGGTTAGGGTTAGTCTGAGGGTTGAAGTTAGGGAATTTAGCCCACGTCACCTGGAGTACGGGGGGAGTCCCCATTCCCGGGTGTGTGTGTGCCCGTCTGCCGCAAGTTGAGACCAACGTGGACCTCGACCTCCCGCCATCTCTCCAGGAAACCATCAGGTCCGTGCAGCAGCCCTCCAACGGGAAAGCGTCCGGATCGGACGCGATCCCTGCTGAGGTCTACAAGCACGATGGCCCCCAACTCATGAATCACCTGACTGCACTCTTCCAGGATATTTGGCGCCAAGGAGACGCCCGGCAGGACTTCAAAGACGCAAAGATCGTGCATCTATACAAGCGGAAAAGGAACCGCCAGCTGTGCGACAATCACCGAGGAATTTCCTTGCTGAACATCGCCGGGAAAATCTTCGACCGTATCCAACCCAACCACCTGAATAAACATCTAGAACATGGTCTTCTACCGCAAAGCCAATGCGGCCTTCGCCGTCATCACGAGACCACTAGTAAGATCTTTGCCGCCCGTCAACATCGGGAGAAGTGTCAGGAGATGTGGACCCACCTGTACACTGCCTTCGTAGTTCTGACGAAAACCTTCGGCACGGTGAGTCGTGAAGGACTGGGGAAGATCATGAAGAAATTCGGCTGTCCCGAGTGATTAATTCAGATGTTGCGTCACCTGCACGACAGTATAATGGCGCGCGTCACGGACAACAAAGCTGTCTCAGAGGCATTCGCAGTGGCCATCGGAGTGAAGCAGGGATGCGTCCTGGTGCCTACCCTCTTAAATCTCATGTTCTTTGCCATGCTAATGGACGCCTACTACGACGAAAGCCCCGGAATCCGCATCGCCTACAGCACGGACAGCCACCTCCTCAATCAACGCCGAATGAACTTCCAATCGCGCGTATCCACAACCACCGCTCACGAACTTCTCTTCGCCGACGACTGCGCCCTCAACACCGCCTCGGAAGACGACATGCAAAGGAGCATGGACCGCTTCTCCGCCGCCTGCGATAACTTCGGTTTGATCATCAACACGAAGTTGACGGTGGTCATGCATCAACAGCCACCCGACACAGCCCCACCCCCAACGCGCCGCCGCAAATCAGCGTGAACGGAACCCAGCTGCAACTGGTGGAGAACTTCCCATACCCGGGCGGTACCCTCTCCCGCAACACCAAGATCGATGACGAAGTCGCCAACAGGATCTCGAAAGCCAGTCAAGCCTTCGGTCGCCTCCAAAGCACAGTTTGGAATCGTCACGGTCTTGAACTGAGCACGAAGCTGAAGATGTACAAGGCCGTCATCCTCCCGACGCTGCTGTACGGAGCGGAGACTTGGGCGGTGTACACGAAGGAGGCACGCCGACCCAACCACTCCTACCTCAGATGTCTTCCTCGCATCCTGAGGCTGAGCTGGCAGGATCGAATCCCCGACAGTGATGTACTGAAACGGAGGGGAATCCTCAGCATCTATACCATGCTGAAACAAATGCAGTTGCGTTGGAGCGGTCACCTCGTGCGCATGGACTACGAGCGACTACTTATGACTCTTCTATGGAGACGTCATCACGGATTCTCACCACCAAGGAGGCCAAATTCGTCGATACAAGGATACCCTGAAATCCTCCCTGAAGCGTCTGCAAATTAACCCGACCAACTGGGGACGACTCGTTCACGACTGACAGACGTAGAGGAAGATAGTGTAGGCGGATGCAGCGACCTACGAGGCCAACCGCATCGATGCCGCCAAAGTCAAAGGCGAGGCGCGCAAATTACAGCCGCGCTCACTCCGCAATGCCGACGCACAAAAGCTTCCGACGTGTCTCCGGTGCAAACGGACATTCTGGGCACGAATTGACTTGTGAGATACCTTCGGATCAACTGCGCCTGCCGGACCGCACCAACTGTCGTCCCTCCACCCGCATCTGCCTCGTCGTCTCCGCCGCCAACTAACTCTGGCTGCTCTTCTGAACCACCACTTCCGTCCTCCTCCTCCTCCTCCTCCTCCTCCTCCTCTCACTCTCTTCATTCACCTCCGCTTCCAAATCGCCTGCTGTCGTGACACCTGCCAGACATATCAACACTGCACACAATCCTTACACATCATCAAGCATTAACACCACCACCGCCGAAACCAGAGTTGAGGACCAGGACTATAGCCGCCCTCACTGCGACCGCACCTTCCCCTCACACATCGGTCTGGTCGGTCACTTGCGAATCCATCGTACAGAGACTGGCGAACCAGTGCTTGAGGCACCCATCTACACCCACCACAATCACCTCCACTGCCCACATTGCTCTCGCATTTTCGCGCATCGCATGGGCCCATTCGGCCACATGCGCATCCACGATGACCTGCGTTAGACAACCGTCGGCTGCGCCACACCATCATAGCCTCCCTCCCTCACCACCACCTCACCACACATCAACACTCACCTACCGCAAGCACCCGTCTGTCACCTCCCACGCAAGTGGGAAGTGCGCATCTCAACTCGGTCCCCCTGCGGCCGTGCACGGGGCGCACGGTCAGTCGACCATGCCAGCCACCGCGCCCATTCCGCACTCCAGTCTGCTGACCGGCTCGGACAGCGGCTGGGGTGTGGAAATGGGAAGGGAGAGTGAGGTCGACGACTCAGCGCATTTTCCATCTCACTATAAATAATCTGACGCGCTTGAAGTTATCATGGTGCGCTAAAAGCCGTTTTTCGCTACGCTACCGCCTAAACAGTTCCGGCTTGGGACGAGGCGAGTGGAGTACGCTGGCCATATCCGCATTAGTATCAGTCCTGTTAAAGAATATCAGTGAATGTTTAGGTTTTTGTGTTACCGGATTATCTGGTATGATAGCGCAAAGGCTGTTAGCCCAGAATTCTGCCTTGTAGATGCCGTTTTATTCCAAAATTACTAGGACCAAGACCGTCTCTCACCGTATTATCACAAAAATCTCTCCAACAGGTGGCCACTGGGTTGTTAAATAAAAGAGCTGCGAAAAAAGATACCTGGATAGGCGGTATTTTGCCGACATATTGGCCAGGCGGACAGAACCTTTTCTTGCCTTGAGGCCTCAGTGTAGAATTCACCAACATCTCACCCACCTGGACCTTCTCACCGTGAGGGCCCCTTCGAACGCACTGACCAACTACCGGCCGAATGTGAATTTGAGCTAAGGAATGGCCTGCAGACACTTTCGCGGGATTGAAACGACAGGTTTGGCTAAAAGTTGATAAATAGACAGGATGTACTAGTACACAAGGAGCCACATGCTGAAGAAAGTAATAAAGGAGAAGGTTCTTCGGAAACGATCGAGTTGCACTCGTGAATTTCAAAGTTGATGCCACAATCCTGTCGTCCGGCGACGGGTCGGTGCCTGCATGTTTCGCTCGGTGTACGCATACAGTAAGTGACTGATCTCATGAAATATCCATCGAATTTTGGAATTCCTTTCCGATTAGGAAGAATTACTTAGGTACCGTTACAATACTGATTATCAAGCGGCATAATCATATAATGTTTCGGACTCGCCAGGAAGTCGGCCTTTGAATGTACTCCTTTTTGACCTCCTGTAGAAACAGCACTTGACAAGAAATGACTATTTAGGCAGCATGCATTTTTAACATTGATTTTTGATGGTCCTTTAAATTCAAATATATTTTACAGAAGAAATGCATAAAACTATGCTTTTGTTTGCTCGTTCGGTAGAGAATCACGTTATTCCTATACTTCATACCTGAAGAAGTGATATATTTCGCTTTTAGAAGAGTTTCTAATTATGAGATTTTTAAGACCGTGCAATGTCTATTCATACAGCATCGTACATGTCCGTTTGCCAATGCTTCTCATGGAATGTAGAACACGGTGCGCATCCACTGCAATATTTTGTGAACTCTACATGGTATCTTTTTAAAGTTGTAGAGGAATAAATGATTTTCCGGTTAGATGTTAGTTGTTAGCCCTCCCGGTGCCGGAAACTCCCAGCCACCTGTCCTACGGGACCGGTGGTAATAGGGGCTATACGGGTGGGGCAAATGAGTGGAGGCGTAAATGGAGCTGGTAGTGTATGCCTGGAATTGACGCTCCTGCTAAAGTGAAAGCCCAATTTAAATAAGGTGTAACATGCAAGAAGGGTATGGAAATGAGCATTGTTAATTAGAACGGTATGCGGAATAAATGCAGCCTCACCCCAGATTGGAAAGAATAGCAACTGAAGGTGAACAACCAATGGGAAGAAGGCAGTGTGTCTTAAGGTCATTCCGCAGTATGTGCGATAGTACTCAAGCCGACAGAATGAAAATGAGAACACGAGAATCAAGCAGCGGCACGCAGGACGGCATAACGCAAGCGGGGTAAGACTTTAATGCCAAGAATATGTTTGGGCGGAAGAGAAAATCCGCAAATAATAGTTTATTGCCGCTGTTGCAACACTTTGAATTAAAACTATGGCAGTAGTTGTGTGCTATACGTGGGTGGAGAATCGGTAGACACCCTATCTGCGCGACGGTTGTCCTTTTCGTACACGATCACGCCGGACTCTGTAGGAGGTCTGGAGTAAAAGGACCCAAGGACGCAGGCAAATCGACAAAACGGAGAGCCTTGCCAATCCGCCTAGGATGGTAATGGGAAGCATGATGAATCATAATCCGCCTAGGATAAATCTTTCGCCCTTTACTAAAGCTTTACGTGTGGGGGGTGCAAGACGATGAATCTATATAGGCATTTTTGCAGCACCTCGTTCTGGGGGCGGTTAAAGTGAACAAGAAAGTCCCCCTGACAGGGCTTCTGCGCGTGCACTCCCAGACATATTGAGAACGTAATCACTACTGAAATCGTGGTGCCTTAAACTGAAAGTGCAGGAAAGGATCGCTACCTGACAGGGCTACCAACTACCATCCCGCCGACTTTCCTTCCTCCGAAAGCATGCACCTTGTTGATTGAAATCTCTGAAAGCTAATGTAACGGCTGATCAGGCTCCAAATTATTCGGTCTTTAGGAAACTTTTTCAAAATCTAAATATACCATTTCTTCAGGCATAAAGTATAGAAATAACGTGATTCTCCACCGAACGAGCAAACGGAAGCATAGTTTTATGCATGTCTCGCCGGCACGTTCAACAGGAAACAAAGATTCATAAGTATGAGGCAAGTCAAAGCCCTCGCACTCTGCTATTGTGAAACGTGACCTCTACGTACTACTGATCAAATAAAGATCGTGGTGTTTGAAACCCGACACTATTCCATGCGCCAATCGGCGCGGCGTGTACTTTAGGCAGCTGGACCGATATTTTGGCACGCATATTAACCAGCATAGATTAGCTTTCTGTCGGCAAGATCCCTTTTGACCCGCCTTTTTGCAGGCCCCTGGGAGCAACCACAGCTTCAGTTGGGGCGACAGCGAAGTGATCGTCGGGGCGCTAGGACTTGTCAAGACAGGCCTTACCATCCTAAAAATACATGAGCATATCCATATCCTTTGATATTGAATTCCATTGAAGCGCCATCCTCGACCTCGTCCCTATCATGACACTGTGGTCATCCTCCACGGATGCGAACTCTAATTATCTAACATCCATGTGTCGAGCAATCTACTGTGCCGATCCCACCTCCGTAATAATTGCTTCGTCTGAGGACTGGTTGGTTTTATTAGTTTGATGAGAGACGAATACGACTTGATCTCTCTAGAGAACCTCCACCATGCCGACAGGAAAACGAGCCCGCGTTTAGAGGCGTTGGACGTTTAACCTAATAGGTCGCGGTGTCGAGCCCGTGTGATCCACAATTTGAGGCTGGGTATGACTGGCTGACGACAGCTAACAAGCCCGAAATGACCATTCAGGTGTCTCTGGTCTTTGTTGGCAATGTTGGCAATGCTTACGTCTCTGATGATTGATTCGAGCAGGAATCCGAAACGTCAGGCTAATAAAGCTCTTGTCCCGGCAATCGTGTCTTCTTCTTCAATGTTTGCCTTGCCTATCTACATTTGTATGCAGGGATCGCGATTCATATATTGGAAACTACACAAGGGTTGTCATGTTTTGCAAATCAAGAAATGTTTCCAGAAGAATGCCCGTTCATCGAAATACGTTTATTTTGGGTTTAACGCTCCCAGTGGTGATTTCGACTACCCATTTGCAGAGGCTGAAGGGTCTTGCGCGCAGCTCTCATTATATGGCTCACTTTTTTCTTGATTTAAAGGGCGTCAGTGCCGTCCCACAGTTAGTTGGTTCGTCCCGTCCCCGTTGACCGTGGCGATAGTTGGAGGTCCCGATTGTGCCACAAATATCTGTGCGCAAAACACTCCAGTCTCTGAATTTGGATAGGGGAAATCACTACTGGAAACGTCAGACCCCAAACAAACCTGTTCCGGTGAACGCCTCTCCTTCTTTTGGGCACACAGAGTCTCAAAATGTCAAAATGTTGATGGTGCGTGACCGATCTCGTGAGATGTTGGCCGAAATTCTGAAATGCGTTTTCGATTAGAAAGGATTACTTAGGTGGATTTGTAATATTGATTATCTTGCGACATAATCCTATAACATTTCAGACTCGGAAGGATGTCGACTTGTGAATGCATTTCTTTTCAACCTCCTGTAGAAACCGTACTCGATAAAGAGTGACTGCTAAATTAGCATGCATTTTTCACATTGATTTTCAA